ACAGGCGTGTGGCTCTGCCAATTAACAAGATATTTTAAAATATGGAATAAGGTTCACATTCATCCCATTCCCTCATCTAGCCTGCTCCTGCCCTGTCTCCTGTGACCCTAAGTGCCAAGAGCCCACAACTTTTTAATAGAGCCTTCTAATGGGATAGAGCCTTCATCAGCCCCTCCGGGGGTTCACTGGGTGCAGGCTGGTGGCAAGGGCACCTCTAGGAAACCTGTGCACTTTCCATGTGTTTTCATCTATGAAACCTGAATCGGGAAGAGGAGGGGCCACCTGTTGCCCTCTGAGGAACCTGTGGAGGTTTGTGTGGAGCAGTGTCAGGTATGGGTACTTGGTAGCAGCTCCTGCAGAGGGTAAAGGTGTGGAAGGGATGACTAGCCAGGTGTTGGCTCCCCCTTCCCTGGGCCTGTTAGCTCCTCTGAGCGCTTAGACCTGTTCTTGGGAGCTTTGACCTAGAAGTTCCCAGGTCACGCCTTTAGTCCAAGCACTTAGGAGGCAGAGGCAGGTGAATCTCTCCGAGTTCTATAGAGACCAGCTTGGTCTACAAAGTGAGTACCAGGACAGGCTCCAAAGCTGCACAGAGAAACCCTGTCTCTGGAAAGAGAAAAAAAGGTTCTCCAGATGCCCTAGATCGAGAGGATCCTCTTTCTCGGGACCACAGTTTTTCCAATACCAAGTAGGGCAGCGTTGGCCTTGCTAGGATTGGGAAGGTCGTGTTGCCTGGGCTAGCTGTACCACTTCCCAGCCTTTCCCTTGAGGCAGGTATTTCCAGAGCCTTTTTATCCTAACTCTACAAGAGGACACAGTTCTGAAGAGATCTTTGATAACAAAGAATCTGCTTCTTCTCTCCCCCTCCCCCCATTTTTTTCAGCCTGCCTCTGACTCCCAAGTGTTGGAATTAAAAGCATGAGCCACCACACCCAGCCCCAACCCCCCCAAGACAGGGGCCCTGGCTGTCCTGGAACTCAGTCTATAGACCAGGCTGGCCTCAAACTCAGAGATCTGCCTGCCTCTGCTTCCCAAGTGCTGTAATTAAAGGTGTGTGCTACCACAGCCTGGATCCAACCATCCTCCCCCCAGTGTTTTCTCTGTGTAGCCCTACGTGTCCTGGAACTAGCTCTTTTAGACCGGCCTGGCCTTGAACTCATAGAGATCCACCTGCTTCTGCCTCCAGAGCGCTGGGATTAAAGGCATGCGCCACCACTGCCCAGCTCCAATCATTTCCTTGTTCTAGACAGGGTTTCTCTGTGGCTTCGGATTCAACCATTTTCTTTTTTGTTGTTGTTTTTTTGTTTTTTGTTTTTTTTCCCGAGACAGGGTTTCTCTGTGTAGCTTTGGAGGCTGTCCTGGAACTCCCTCAGTAGACCAGGCTGGTCTCGAACTCACAGTGATCCGCCTGCCTCTGCCTCCCGAGTGCTGGGATTAAAGGCATACGCCACCAACGCCCGGCTCAACCATTTTCTTAAGACAACTCTTAAGCTGTTTTTTTGTTTGTTTGTTTGTTTGTTTGTTTTGGTTTTTCGAGACAGGGTTTCTCTGTATTGTTTTGGGGGCTGGCCTCGAACTCATGAGATCCACCTGTCTCTGCCTCCCAAGTGCTGGGATTAAAGGAGTGCACCACCAAAGCCCGGCGCTTAAGCTATTTGTTTACCACCAGGTGGACACAATAGTCCCATGGTGGATGGGGAGGTCATCTAAGTGCCTTGAGCCATCTACCTGGATTCACTGGGAGGTTTGAGTAAAAGAATATGTTTCAGAGTGACTGGGTTCTTGTCCCAATCCCCTTGTTTAGATGGTATTATATATGGTCCAGACTGTGCCTGGGCCATCTACAGCATAAAACCAACATGGATGATTCTGTGGTGCAAAACTGAGGGCTTTTCTGTTGCGCCAAACCTTTTCTTTCCTCCTGTTGGTTGTTAGTGGTTCTCCAATGCTGTGGTACAGTGTAGTCAGATCTGGTCTATAGGGCAGTCACACGACCATGAGTAGCAAGCATCTGGCGGCTATAATCCCAGCTCTGAGGGAATGCGGCCAGAGCTTTGCTTAGGGACAGACACTGGCTGTGGCTTGCAAATATTTTGTAAGAGGAAAATGGGGGTGTGCAGGAAGCTGCTTAGGAAATTGCTATCTGCTTACAGAAGGATGTGCAACAGTTTGTACAGCATGGTCTCTCTCCACTGCATCGAAGGTCAGTGACCACTGAGGATCCATTGTTGCTGCCGCTCCCTAGGGCAGTATCTACAAGGACTCTGCCCCAGCATTGTAGTGCTGGGCAGAGAAGAGCTGAGTATACATGGCATCTCCTTCCCCATTGGAGATCAAATTTGGTACCTTCTAAGCCTACAGGCCTAGAGGATGGTGAAGCAGGAAGATTGATGTTGGGCACCTATTTGCCTAGTTGTGTAACTCTGCTTATACCTAACCTCTCTTGGGAGTTTAATTATAAAGTATAGAGGTTTTGTGGTGTTTTCATTTTGTTTGTTTTTGAGACAGGGTTTCTCTGTATAGCTCTGGGTGTTCTAGAACTTGGCAACAGGCTGGTCTCTAACTCAGAGATCTGCCTGCGTCTGCCTCCCCAGTGCTGGGATTAAAGGCGTGAGCCACCACCGCCCAGCTAAAGTACAGGATTAATGGCACCCATTCTGTTCAAAGTGTGTAGTGAATATGAGAATCTTGAGGTCACTGGAAATCTTAGGACACTGCAAATATGACTTTTCAGAGCTGTTTTATGTGGCCACAGTTCCTTCCCATTCAAATGTAACTGCATTGGCTGCACCACTGAGGGATTCTCTGACTGGTCAGTGTTCAGAGTGGTGTGGTTGCTCTGTTCACAACACTCTTGCTTATCCTGAGCTCTGCTGGAAGTTTGCAGCTCTTACCGTTTAAGTGGCAAAAGCTTCTAGGCCTCATAGACCAAAGGATTCTTAGGGTTTGGTAGAAAACACCCTTAACCCTAACCCAAAGACAAACCCTGGCATGGGGAAGCCTTCACTACTTCCACTGTTGAAATTTGCCTGTTGGTGACTCCCCTCACTGTCTTGTCTTCAGGAATTATGTACTATGTCATCAGTGCCTTGGGCATCACGGCCGGGGCTCACCGCCTGTGGAGCCACCGAACCTACAAAGCTCGGCTGCCGCTGCGGCTCTTCCTCATCATCGCCAACACCATGGCTTTCCAGGTGAGAAGCTGGCGCTGGTAGCTGTCTCCGCCCCAGGGATGATCTGGCTGGGCACTGGGGATCAGCATCTAGAGAAGAATTCCTAGGTCCACCATTGATTGCCCTTTTCGGTTTCCTGGACTTACAGGTTCGGTTCTTAGGTTATTGGGAGGATAAGGGGGAGGCAAATAGAAAAGGCTGTCTAGGTTGGGTCACTTTTGATTCAGGGCCACTAAGGTATTACACAGTATGTTTGTTGTGGGTTGTCTGCCTAAGGGCAGAGCCATGCTGCATAGTCTGTGTGCTGGCTCTGGTTTCCTGCACTCTTACTGGGAAGTAAACTATTCTTTACTATGACTATCTTGGAATGTCACCACAACAGCACTGATGACCATGTGACACAGAATTGGGATCTTAACAGGCAGTGGTGGTGCACACCTTTAGTCCCAGCACTGGGGAAGCAGAAGCAGGCAGATCTCTGAGTTCGAGACCAGCCTGATCTACAAGACCTAGTTCCAGGGCACAGAGAAACCCTGTCTCAAAACACACCCCCACAAAACAACAAAACAGAATTGGGATCTCTATACAGTGCTGGCTGTGCTGGGCACTGCTAAGCACTTGGTATCAGTTAACCCATTAAGTCCTCACGCATATTGGTGGATATTATTGTTATCCTGTGGTTTTGATAGGATCTCACTGTGTAGCAGTGGCTGGCCTGGAACTCATGTAGACCAGGTTGGCCTCTGCCTTCCCTGTACTGCCTTCCCAAGTACTTTGCAGATGAGGAACTGAGTCTGCAAGGCTGACTGACCAACCTTGTTCTAGCTGAGGCTGCTGGGTTGGCTAGGTCACGTCCTGAGGTTGGTTTATAGTAGATGAGGCGGGTTGGAGAGAAACAGTGGGCACAGGATGACTTGTTCTGTGGGGCTTACCAGAGAAAAACAGGGAATCAAATTAATTCCACTTATTGACAACATGTGAAGTCTTTTCCACATGTCTGAGACAAACTCCGAGGTCCTAGGGAAATGTGCTCATGCTCATTAGTTACATGCTGACCTTACAACTAAACTAGGTTAGGTGGGCTGTCACTTGTGAAAGCATCAGGGTGGCATGCCCTGCATCTCTTCTTGGGAGTGACTCCTCGGGATCCAAGGCCACCTGCCTCCTGGTCTCTGCCCCCACATTCCCACATTCCTTTCTTCAAGAACTGCAGTGTTCTTTGTGAGTGCTGTGACTTTCCCTTCTCCCCACGCACAACCTTCAGTGTGCTCTGGGACTTCGCCAGATAAGCTTCAGGAGCAAGTGTACAAAAGAGCAGCCCCACCCCACCCCCACCCTTCCACCCCAGGCTCCCTTTGGAGCTAAAGTCTTATGGGCTTTCTAAGTTGGACTCAGAGTCCTAGGCCCTTGAAGATAAATGGGTACCGGGTTCCCCCAGGAGGGCTTCTTTTCTCAATATTGGGGTTCTCTTTTCTGTCCCTCCAGAATGACGTGTATGAATGGGCCCGAGACCACCGCGCCCACCACAAATTCTCAGAAACGCACGCTGACCCTCACAATTCCCGCCGTGGCTTTTTCTTCTCTCACGTGGGCTGGCTGCTTGTGCGCAAACACCCGGCTGTCAAAGAGAAGGGTGGAAAACTGGACATGTCTGACCTAAAAGCCGAGAAGCTGGTCATGTTCCAGAGGCGGTGAGTGAGGGGGTGGGGGTAGGTAGCACTGGGAGTGTGTGGGACTTGATTCCACCTTTTCTCTTAGGACTTATAAAATAATAACTGTGTTATTTAGTGTGTTGATATGTCCAAAATCATTTAAACCTCCAATTCAGCATCCAGCAAGCTCACAGACATAATTTATTGCTCTGTTTCTGCCTGAGCCATCTTAACAAAACCAAGAACTCTATTAGTCCTAAGGCAGAATTTACCGTGATTGAGTACAAGGAGGAAATACAGCTCAATGGTTATACAACAGAGGGGGACCCCTTAGTATCGGGATCCAGCCAGAGATCAAGGCTCTGTCAGTGTGGTGGGCAGGGCCAGTGCAGCGCAATGCCAAAGATTTCCTGAAATAAATACAGTCCTTCTCTGTGAAATGCAGCATGTGACAGGAGAGGGCTGCAAGGACAGGCTCAGTCAATATTTATTCACCGTTTGAGGAACCACTGAAACAATCTCCGGCAGCTTGGGGCACAGTCAGGTGGGCTTTGGAGAAGCCACTTTCAAGACAGGTGAAAATAATCATGGGTCCAAGGAGGTGATGAGCAGGGTCATAGGTTAGACCCCAGGGAAGTCTCAAGGTAGGGAAGTAGCGCCCAGAATGGAAAGGAACCAGACTGAGGGAATTTCAGTGACACAGAAGTAATAAACACAACTGCAGGGCGCAACTGGTCCCCTTGGACGTCACTAGGCTGATGTGTAGGGAATGAAGAATGGGACTGGACAGACCTGCAGATGATCAACGATGATGTGTCTCCTGGGGGGAAAGCAGATCAAAGACCTACAGGGTGATGGCAGGAAATGACAGCATGACACGTGCCATAAGCTGCCGAAGACCACAACAGGCAAGAGACAGGAGCATACGCTGATGGGCAGCCGCAGCACAATTGGCTGATGAGGTCGGGATTGCCTGTGATCAGCTTGACCAGCACGACCTATGAAAGAAGTAAGGGATTTGTAATCAGGAAAAGATGTGATAAGAGACACCACACCCAGTCAGATGATTCTAGAATATTGGCACATCATGGATCCTTATCTAAAAGAAGATGCCACCTCCTCATGCTGATAATCTGTCCCATCCTCAGGCATAAAAGTGACAGAACCCGCCTAATTAGAAAGGACGGTTTGTGTAGGTGTGAGAGTTCTCTCTCCATACTCAGTGTGCCATCCCTCCACGCAGGTACTACAAGCCCGCCATCCTGCTGATGTGTTTCATCCTGCCCACGTTTGTGCCCTGGTATTACTGGAGTGAAGCTTTCGTGAACAGCTTGTGTGTTAGCACCTTCTTGCGATACACTTTGGTGCTCAATGCCACCTGGCTGGTGAACAGTGCCGCCCACCTCTATGGGTATCGCCCCTACGACAAGAACATTGAATCTCGAGAGAATATCCTGGTTTCCCTGGGTGCCGTGGGTAAGTCACTAATCCTCAGCATGACCATATATCTTAGGGGCCTGCTGGTTGGGGTATTTGTCTAGGAGCCAGGGGAACCAGAATGACCTGTTTTATGAGTACTGTGTAGTTAGGTTTTTCCTCTATAAAACTGGGGGTTGGGGAGGAGTATGTTGGGAAACCCTTAAGAGAGCTGGACAAGCAATTCTTAATGTAAAATGGAAAGAGCAAGAAGTAATTCTGCTTTTGCTTAGAGGTTGTAAAACAATTTCTAAATGCTGCCTATAATGATCGTCTGAGTTTCCCTCTTCTGGTCCCCTGGCAGGTTTGTGGCTCTCTGTAGCCCAGGATGTACAAAAAGAGGACCACAGTCACCCAGATAGCCCATTGCCTAGTGGTTCACACATACCCTTGCTGTATACAATATAAAAGAGTTGTGATTTAGTTCAATAATCTTCAGGTTGCCACACTTGTATTTACCTCCCCTGTGTGCGCCTTGAATTGTCATGTAGTGATGTCAACTGAATGGCAGGCTCTTGTCCCTCCCCCTCTCACCACCCCTCCCTCCTTGCTCTTTTTCTCCTGGCCGGTCCATACTGAGGGTTCCTCCTCAGTGTCCCCGGTGGAGGGGAGTTTGGGGAGAAGTTCCTTGTGTGTGATCTGATGCTGACTGTTTTGGATGCTTTCCTAATTCCAGCCCTGACTGCAGATCAAAGGAAGCAGTTCTCTTGCCACCCTCTTCCTGCTCTCTAAAGCCTTAAGCTAGGCCTCCCTGTAATGACCCAGTGCCCCAGTCTTATCAGTGGACAGAGCTATTGCTGGTGACAGCCTAGAGAACACTTTGCTCGAAGATCCATGCCTATCAGTCACTAGTGCTTTTAACTTGATTTAAAACACCCCCCCCCATTTCTTTTTGGATTCTATGTATCTCCACTCTCCTCCAGCACCAGTTACAATTCGGTATGCTGCTACTTTGAGCAATTTTGAAATGAACCCTATGCTATCCAAATGTGATGTTTCCACAGAAAGAGTGATCTAAACCGAGCCATTTGTGTCCTGTGTTGCTCTACAGTGAGCCTTCCTTGTGACCATCCGTTCCAAATGGCTGCCAACGTCTCCCTTTGTGTGGGTGTCCCTCACCTCGTTCTCATCTTTCCCATTGCTCCCCTATCACTCTCATCCCGAGTTACTTCCTCCGGTCACATGCTGGTGCTCCCTGACCATTCCCTGGAGCGTTTCTCGGCTCTCTTGCTGCTCCTTGCTACCTGCCCCACAGATCTCTTCTTTCCCTTGTCACTATGGGTTTCTGATGTCATGTAAAATGTTAAGACAGGGATGCCTGGGAAGTACTCACTAGAAACATCCTTGTGAGAGTGAGTAAAAACTAGCAATCTTTTTTAAAGACATTTTTTTCTTCTTAATTGCATTTTTACTTTGTGTGGGGGTGGTTTTCCAGCATGCCTGGCTGTGCACCATGTGCATGCGGTGCCTGATGTGGCCAGAAGACAACATTTGGAGCTTCTGGGTTCTGTATTATTGCAATCTATTCAGAAAGAAGAGTCCTGGCAGAGCTGGTAAACACATCACCCTCTGTAGAGGCCCTCCTGAGTCCAGATTTTTCCCTTTCTATCAAAATGTTATTCTCAGGGATGGTCAGAATATTCTATCAAAGTGTTTCTGTTTTCTCAGCACCTCCCTGACTCAGAGTCAGCGGTCCACTGGGAGCCAGAAGTCTGGGGGTGGTTGGGAGGGGGTCTCTCATTGTTGTCTGGGCTTTCTTTTCTTTTTTTTCCTTTTGGCAGCAGCTGCCCCTCCTGTCTTACAGAGATCGGCAGCGTGTGGGGACGGTGTACTTACCTGTGGAGGAATATGCCCGAGAGTCCCTCTTTGCCTCTTTTTCTCTCCTGAGCACATGCACTCATATACAGACCTGTGAATTCTTGCACCTGGATCTCTCGATGCTGTGGTGCTTTCATCATAAAATCTGTCCCCACAGGCCCAGCTTCTCCCATCTTACGATAGAAACTTCTTCTGACAGAGGCTCCCAGACAGGCTTGTGTGAGCAGAGTCTGTCAGCTGGTTTCCTGAGACACCTCTGAGGGCATCTATTTGCTTTAGAATATAGGACTGTGGGTTCATCTTTTCTCAACAGCGGGGTTCTTCAAGGTTTGAGGTACACGACAGATAAGAAATGTACAAAGAGCAGAAAGCAGCAATCGCCGAGCCCCCTAACTGCTCTCCTTGCTTCTGTTCCAGGCGAGGGCTTCCACAACTACCACCACGCCTTCCCCTATGACTACTCTGCCAGTGAGTACCGCTGGCACATCAACTTCACCACATTCTTCATCGACTGCATGGCTGCCCTGGGCCTGGCGTATGACCGGAAGAAAGTGTCTAAGGCCGCTGTCTTGGCCAGGATTAAAAGAACTGGAGATGGGAGCCATAAGAGTGGCTGAGTCTGGGGCTCCTGAGTTCCTGTTCCAAAAGTTATCTGGGCAGAGATTTAATATTCTGTTAACTGCAGGATAATGCTACCAGGATGCTAATGATGCATTTAACCTGTTTGGGTACAGCTTTCTTTTAAAATGAGAAAGCTTTGGTCACATTTTGAGGTAGTACGCATTTTAATTAGCTAGGATTAACCATGCCACAATATATATATACTTCTAAACATATACACAATAAATGCATATATAATTTCACACATCAATTTAAATAGTAACAATAAATTCGAACATTCTATACAAAGAGTATTAAAAGCCAACAAACACGCTGTTTGAGGCTGAGGTGATGAGCACAGCATTCATCCCGTTTGTACTGCATCTTGCTTTCTTTCTTGCTACCTCCTGGGCAAATAGCTGGCCACCCATCGGTCTGTGTCTACCTTCCAAAGCCTAGACAACTTTTCCAGTATCTGAAACATTGCTTCTTCCTCCTAGGTACTTCTTTCCTTGTTCTGAGGTTCCAGATGCTGCTGCCTCAAACTAGAAATATAACAAAACCTGCCTGCAAGTTCCCTACCTGCTAATGAACTTCATTACAGGCTTTGCTAAATGGGCTGGGGAAATTTTCTTGATGTGATGCATAGCAAGTAGATCATCTGGAGACAAGAGTTAGCATACATGGTGTGGTTCACAAGTAAGACTGGGAGGCAAACAGGAGGTGGCCTCCTCAGCAGAGACACCAGGCCCCTCTACAGCATGCCTTCCTTCAGTCCATACTCTGAAGCACAGAGCTCAGTGAGACTGGAATATAAATCAGATGTCAGGGGGAAGGGAAGTGATGCATGGTCAGTGCTGAGGGGGACGACTGGCTGTTAACAACATGAAGATTTCTTCATCGAACAAGCCTTCATGTGACGCGTGTCTAAAGCTGACGGGAAGTAGCTGGCAGAGTTCTGAGGATATGGTAGAAAACTGTGTGGCTATAAAGAAAGTCTTCACTTGGAACAGGAAAATATTTCACTTTGAAAAATTGAAGGACCAGAGGAGCTATCTAAGTTGCCGGTTTCTTTCGTGACTGGACGGGAAGTGGAGAGAGAGCTTGAGGGTCAGCATCTGTAGGTAGCTGCTAAGAGCTAGATTTCTAAATGAAACCCTTGGGGAACACACTGCCAGGGATCCGGAAGTGTTAGCTCCCTCCGTTAGTCCTCCTTCCGTCCTTGGACTGAGTAGACACCGACTTGCCAAGGTGTTGAGTCTTCCCTGCATTTGCTTTCTGGCCAGCCAGCTGGCATCCTGTCGCCTGGGAGGCGATCACCTGCCCTGATTCTGATTACTTCTGCCAGTTCTCCCTTCGGCAGTTTCTGCCCTCCCTGGACGGGCAGCAAGATGCCCGAGCGTATTCAGAGCACTCTGGACTTGCTGTCTAGGCCTGTTCCTCTCCCATAGACACTGCTCGTGGGCTCAGAACTGCTGGTCGCTTTCGCTAGCAGAGCCAGGGGCCTCCAGATCCTCTCTCTCTACCTCTATCCCAAGTGCCTCTGCCACTGTGGCTCCAGAAAAGCTTAGTAGGTCCTCTAGCAGCATCCTAGGTTCAGAGATTGTCTGGTTTGGGAGTCAACAGCTCACAGTGTCTCAGTGAGGCAACTGCTGACCAACATGGTTCATGGTGGTCTCTGTGAGTCAGAGAAGACAGCCCATTGATTCTCCTTGCGTGCTCTGCAAGGTGGCTCTGGCTGATCACTATAGGCGGGCATGGTACAGTGTTTGTGAGGCTCCCCATTTTATCCCTGTGAAAACACCAGAAGCGCGGGCAGCCACCTAGGAAGAGGTCCTGCTTCCTGAAGCCAGATGTGATGCAAAGCTTAAACTGAAATGTGGTAGGCCAGGTGGCATGAACTAACAAACATCCCCTGTCACACAGCCCAGGGCGGTCACTGGTACTGAAGAGTCTAGAAGAAAACATCACCTCAATAGTTTAGAACCACCAGTCTCTCCGCCCTGTAGCCTGACCCAGAAGCCTGGCTTTGCAGTTAGGGCTGGCTGTATACAGGACTAAATGCTCTGTTCTCTTGGGATCACACCAGAGTCTTCTGCCTGTGTTGAGTGAACATGAGCTTTGAGCTGTTCATTGAAACAGAAAATCTCATAGAGATCACTGTAGATCTGCCGACCTGCATTCCTCTGACCTAACCCTCTGGAAATGCCATTGGGTGGTTTCCCTTTCCCAGGCCATCAGATCCATGATTTATAACATGAACAGAAAAAAAAGTCAACCTTCTTCTAATCTTATTCCACAGATCTAATTCAGGCCATGCCACACCACAAGGCTACATAGAGCAGGCTGAGGTCCCAGTGTCTGAGGGCGTTTAGGTAGGGTTTGATGGAATGTTCAGGTAAGGGACACTATTTTCAGATCCTCTCAAAGGAGAATCTCTAACAGTTCCCACTTAATGTTAAGCTAACAGCTTTGGGCGCCTTGCCTCTTTCCTAATCTTTAGTGCATGTGAGCCCAGCTTCCCTCCCTCCCTAACCCTAAAACCCTGAAGAAGCAGTGGGTGTAAACCCCCGGCTGCCAGGGAGATCACTGATTCAGTCATTTGCAGAAATCTTTCACAGGCTTCATTTGGGAGGATTTTCCCTGGAGCTGTTTTTAGTACATGCTCAGATCTAACTTCAAGTGGAGATCACTTGATTGCATTTGATTGCATTGCTATTGTTAAACCGTGATCACGGCAGTGGCGCTCAGGGACTGTTCTTGGGTTGCTAGTCTCCGGGTGTATTCTCTGAAAGTGTAGCTCAGGTGAACTGGTGTGAAAGGCTAGTAAAGCAGCCGTCTGCTGGTGGCTTAGCTACTTCATAACAAGTCCGCCCAGAGATGAGGTCTTTAACACCTTCAATCCTGTGCCAAGCACCTGATGATCTCACTTTCCAAACATCCTGAAGTGAGTGTCTGGCACATCCCCTCTGGAGGACACCCTGAAAATATCACTCTTGGGCAAGTCCTGATAAAGTGGGCTAATACTCACCTACCTCAAGGGGCAATTTTGAGGTAACTAGACCTTTTTTTATTAAGTATTTGGGGGTCCTCAGCAGAGATACTCATACAGACTTCTATAGAAGTAGTATATACCATGAGCTTCACACATGTTCTACATTGCTCTTCCCAGAGATTGACAACTCACAGGGGAAGTGGGATATGACCAGTCAAAGAGAAACAGTGCCTACTCACTGCCATGGAAAACAGTGCAGGAAACCTTTTCCTTGCCTGAATAACATTTTTTCCTTTTTATGTGGGATAGTTATTTGTGACCCAAGCAAAGTTTCGGATGATTCCCATTAACACAAACGCTGGGGTCTAATTGTACTAATTGACATTGTATTTGTTGCTAATAAAGGCAGATCTGGCTCTATGGTCTGGGAGCTTTTTTGGCTATTATGGTCATAATATTAATTTCCAGTGCACATGGTGCTAGGGATGAAACCCAGGGGTCTCCACGTGCTGGCCAAGCACTCTACAAATGAGACAGCCACAACCTGTCTTGAACTTGTGTGTGAGAGACACAGACTCGTTATGTGGCTTTAGCTGGCCTTGGAAATCCCAGAAATCTGCCTGCCTTTGCTGGGATTATAGAAAGGATTGAAATCACGAGAAAAAAGTGAGAAATTACAAGGGTTGAGCCATACCCCAGTAACCTGCCTGCCCTTCTTAAGGGTAACTAGAGGTTAACCTCTGGCAGCAGGAAACCAGAGTCTACTGGCATTGAGTCAAACATAGCATCAGCTGACAACCAGGCTGGCCACGTGCCAGGTCTCTGTGTCACATGATCAAGAAGCCCTAGCATACAGCTCGGGGAAGAGCTCTCAGCTAGAAGTCATACTCACTCCTCTTCCTGGAATGTCCTGCCTCCAGGGAACAGAAAGCTGAGAGTGCTGACTGACAACAGGAGGAAAGAAAACAGCCCAGAGAGGCTCACAAGTCCCCAAGGAGAAACATCATGACCACAAGACAGGTGGTACAGGTTTTTGTCTGTGTAGCCCTGGCTGTTTTGGAACTCATTCTGCAGAGCAGGCCGGCCTTGAACTCATGAAGATCCGCGTGCTGGGAGTAAAGGCTTGCACCATTACCCAACTGCTTTGCTATTTCTTAAACTTTCAGCTTTTAACACACTTTGAGAATTCCCCCGGGGGCAGGGGTGGGAAGGGCAGGAGTTTTAGTTTCTTTGAACTCCATATTCCAGTAGTGTCACCTCCAAGGCTTTTTGGGAGTTCTGCCAGATCATTTTCCTGTCTGAAGTTGTTACCTGGAACAAGCAGCATGCTCCTGTATAGATAGACATTACAGAGTAGGAGTCTCATGCAATTTTTTCTAGACAATGTCACGTGCACTACAATAGTTCAGAATGTCCTCAAACTCCATGTCTAGCTGAAACTGGTTTTGAACTCTTGATCTTACCTCCTCCTCCTGAATGCTGCTGAGATTAAATATTACTGGCTGCTTGGAGCCAGTCATGGGTGTGCACACCCTTAGTGCCAGCACAGGAGGCAGAGGCAAGCAGATCTCTTAACTTCAAGGGCAGCTGGGATTCCAAAGTAAGTTCCAGGACAGAGCTATTATATGGAGAAACTCTGTTTAAAAAAAAACTAGGGGAAAAGTTGCTATCATACCTAGCTTTCTCGCACTGTTTTTTTGAGTATCGAGAATCAAAGGTTTGTATACATTGAATTTTGCCAGACCTTAAATTTAAGTTGATGGTGATGACATTTTCTTTATTAATATAGCATGTACATAGACAATAATAAAATTATATAATTCATATATATATATGTATATTCTTGTTTGAATCACACCAGAATAAATTTTCTTTTTCTGCTGGGTGGTGGTGGTACACACCTTTAGTCCCAGCACTTGAGAGGCAGAGGCAGGTGAATCTCTGTGAGTTCAAGGCCAGCCTGGTCTACAGAGCATGTGCCAGGACAACCTCCAAAGCAATACAGAGAAACCCTGTCTCGAAAAACCAAACCAACCAAACAAACAAAAACCCACATTTTCTTTTTTCTTTTCTTTTTGTCAAAAAGAGAGCATCAGATCCCATTATAGATATTATAGATGGTTATGCGTTCCCATGTGGTTGCTGAGAATTGAACTCAGGACCTCTGGAAGAACAGCCAGTGCTCTTAACTGCTGAACCATTTCTCCAACCCCTACACTAGGTATAGTTCTCACCCGTGGAGGATGAACGACCCTTTCACAGGGGTTGCCTAAGACCATCAGAAAACACAGGTATTTGCCTTGATTCATAACTGTCGCAAAATTACAGTTATGAAGTAGCAACGAAAAAAACTTTATTGTTGGGCATCACCACAACATGAGGAACTATACTAAAGGGTCTTGGCATGAGGAGGTTGAGAGCCACTCCTAGATTGGTTCCCATGAACCGGCATTAAATCAACAACATGTCCTCCCCATGTTTGTCTCTCATTCCTTCCTGTTCCATACCTCACTGCCCTACTCTGGTTACACACTGCTTTATGCTCCAGGGAAGCATAGTTTCTTTCACAACAGACTGTTTTCTTACTCTTGTTTGTAAAAGTTCCAAAGAGAAAGAGGGAAGGGTGAGATCTTCCAACTGCAAGAGCCTAAGGAGTGACAATTCTCTGAGGGTATAAATCCAGTGGGAATCCCTAGAGGGCAAAACAGTGAATTCTGCTTTTGAGACATTATATGGAAAGGGACAAGGAGACCACAGGTCCTGTTCAGGCCTAAAGTGGAGAAATGAAAAGGTGAATTCCTTGGGGACCAATGGTCATCCATCCCTTCAAGAATCAAGATAGCTCCCCTGAGCAGGAAAAGCAGCACCCAAGCCAGGTAGAACAAACTACCACGTGTAGATGGCGTGACATGTATATGTAGAACTCTACACATCACATATACATCTGGGCAGCCAGTCTTACCTTGCCTATCTCTTGGCAGTTTTCAACGTTATCTCCACTGAGAATGGTGGCAAGTGTTAGTCCTCCCGGCTTTCATGAGGTAGAGGTAAAAAGATCAGAAGCTCAAAAGAGTTTGAGGTCAACCTGGAGTACAGGAGACTCTGCCTCAAAGAAAGAAAACCAAAAGAGAAAAGAACTAATGACCTTTTATGTGTCAGAATACTGTATTTGTGAGTCTGCTTCAAAAAGAACCAAAAGAACCAGGTTGAAATGTAGCCCTGTGGGTAAAATGCCTGGCAGGCAGGAGACCCTGAGTTTGGTCTGCAGCACCCTATAACTCAGGTACAGTTGGTTACATCTGTAATCCTAGCACTCAGGACCTGGAGGCAGGAAAACCTGCATTTCAAGATAATCCTCACCTATGTGAAGAGTTCAAGGCCAGCCTGGGATACATGATACTATCAAAGGGGGGCGGGCAACACCTACAAAATTGGGGAAAATTCAAGCAGTGGCAATTTTAATCCCTTTGCCCCTGCGCTCTCCAGTCAAATTGTGAGACCCTCAAGACTGCCTTCCCCAAATTGGCAGTGGTGGCACACTTCTTTAATCCCAGCACCTGGGAGGCAAAGGCAGGCAGATATGTGAGTTCAAGGCCAGCCTGGTCTACAGATGGAGTTCCAGAACAGCCAGGGCTACACAGAGAAACCCTCTCTTTAAAACAAGACAATTAAAGAAGAGTACTTCCTGTATTAGAAATATGTCCCTGCCCCTAAGACAGATAGTACTGGATAAAATCATGCAAAGAACTATCTCTCATCTTCTTTAAAATTCTAACTCTGCTACCAACTGTGGGAAATGTCACAAGGAAGGAAAATTCTGTCCTGTGACTTATAGTTAGCCTTCTATGTTATGGACAAAATACTGATTATTGAGCATTGGCCTTAGGGCAGATGCCACAAGCCCTAATTACAGGCCGCTAAGACTCCATCCTGAGGTTCCTGGAGGCAGAACACTCCCCTTTTGATGACCCAGCTCTGCCCTCCCCACTGTCCTCCTGTCCAGCCTGTTACTCTCAAGCCACAGTAGGCATACTGTGTGTTCAGTAATCTGAATCCAAATGAGACCCTTCTCAGAGAGGGGAAGCAAGCCCTCTGTCTTGACCATGTCCCACCCAGGCTTTGAAAGGCCTGTGAGCAACTTGAGAGTGGAGAAGACCACAGATGGCCCAAGCTTACTCATGGCTCTATTCTTAGTCCTTCTATAGAGTCCAGACCAAAAAAGGATATAATATACCCTATACATATACACACATCTGCAAACACACATACATATAATTTGAAGGGGAATCAAGACTACCACATAGAAAGAACCATTTATGGGCTGGGGAGATGACTCAATGGGTAAAATAGAGCACCCAAGTTTGGATTCCCAGAACCCATGTAAAAGTCCACTGGGGTAGCCTTCTGTGTCTGTTACCCCAATGCTGGCAACTGGAGACTTGTATATCTTGGGGAGAGGGAACAGGGAAGCTTGTTGGCCAGTCAGGCAATGTGAAAATGAGTTCCAGGTTCAGTGAAAGGCCTCATCTCAAAAGATTAAGGCTGAGAAGCAGTGGAGACATATGGATGTCAACCTCTGGCCTCCACACATGCCTGAAGTAAGCTTGCCTAAACACGCATGCACGGGGCATACACCATACACAGGTGTGCGCACACACAGCCACCATTCAGCTACATGGTGCTTACTAACTCTAGCTCCAGAACATTCTAGGCTGCTCCACCAATTCATCAGCTGACTATTTGAGTTGTCTCCATCTTTCAGTAAGTGGGAATGGTCCTGCTGTAGATGTGTGTAAAAATTCTTAAGAACAACAGGGTGGTGGTGGCCCACGCCTTTAGTCCCAGCACTCGGGAGGCAGAGGCAAGTGGATCTTTGTGAGTTCAAGACCAGCCTGGTCTACAAGAACTAGTTCCAGGACAGCCTCCAAAACCACAGAAAACCCTATCTCAGGAAAAAAAAAAAACCAACCAACAAACAAACCTTAAGAACCTTGCAGATGTTTGCAGCTGATTTGGGCACTAGGAGTGAAGCGGCTCACTTACTACTATATTCCACGGCGGGGCAACCATTTTAAATGTTCACTACCCATGTTTGCGCGATACCCTTCATTCTGCATGACTATCCATTTGTCCCTTTCCTCCCAGTCTTTCACAAAGGCCTGTCCACACCGACTCCCACCCCCGGCCCTTGGTCCCTGGAACACGGGAGAGAAGCAGCACTTTCAGGAACTTGTCTCTGCCAGCCAAAGCTTCCCGACTTGCCTCTCCCATCAGGGTTAGGACAGTGGGAGGAGGTGCCACCTCATTGGGGCCAATAGGGAACACGGCCACTACAGCCATTCGTTAACTCCATAAACCACCTTCCCAACGACCTGCGGCACCTCGGGTCAAAAGCTCCACATTGAAGCCGCGGGCCTGAAGCAGGGTGGAAGCAGGGTGGAAGCTCCGCCTTCTCACCTAGGGAGGGCGTTGGATGTCAGCCTCAGAGCCTGGCCTCCTCTCGCCCGCCCCGGGCGGGTCAGGGGCGCGGGCGCCCAGCGAGGGTGAGGCTCGCTCTCCCAGGGTTACTCTCGGTCAGCACCGCCCCTGGGGTTACTCTCGTTCACTCGGCCCACAGCGCCTGACCCCGGCGCAGCCAATCAGCAGCCGGGCCCGCTCCAATCAGGGGGCGCCGGCCGGCTCCGGAGGTGCGCGCGCACATTGCGGCCGAGAGCCGTTGGGGAGCTTCCCAGAGAGGTCGCGTCTAGGGCAGGGCGCTGCCCTCCATCTGGGCAGCGGAGAGAGGCAGAGAACTCGTGTGCTCAGGTCCACAGCTGCCTTCTAGGTAGCTACGCCTTGCAAGTCGTAGGCAGGATGCATGCGTGATTATCTGCAAAGCGCAGGTGCAGATAAGGAGGGATCAGAGCTGGGAGTCATGGGGGAGACAGCAGACCAGGAAAGCGCCACTTCCCAGTGTTCAGAATCCAGGCTGTCACCGGGAATTAAAGAGAGAGTGGGGGGGGAGGGGAATAGTGCAAGAAAGAAACTGTGACTACCTGCCATAGTTTTGTTTCTCTCTGCTTCTTAGGGAAAACAAGTGTGGAATTGGAAAGGGTCTCTGAGAGGAGTTCTGGATAGCTCCCCGTTGCAGAGAAGTGGAACATGATGGGCTTTTTATAAGTGACTGCAAAGACAGCGCTCACCCTAGCAGAAATTGGGGTCTGAAAAAAAAAACAGATTTGGAAAGGGAATTCAGTTTCTGACATGAGAGTTTTGAGTTGCAAGAAATTTTACATGCATGTGGAAATAACTACCCAGGAGGCTCTCGGAAATCAGGATAAGGAATTTGAAAGAGAAGTAGAAAAAAAAATCTAGAGAGATTGTAGTAAAGCTTGGGAGACAGTGGATTAAGAATATTCAGTGGGATGGTGGTGGCGAATGCCTTTTATCCTAGCACTTGGGAGGCAGAGGCAGGTGGATCTCTGAGTTTGAGTCCAGCCCCGTGTACAAGAGAGAGTTCCAAGACAGGCTCCAAAGCCATAGAAAAACCCTGTCTTGAAAACCAACCCCCCTCCTTCACCTCTGCCCAAAAAAAAAAAAAAATATATATATATATATATATTATATATATGAGGTGAGAGAAGAAACATGTGTAGACAATGCCTGTACATGACGTTATATGTGTAACAGCAAAAACACTTAAGATCTAAATGTTGGTCCATGAGCCAACATATGTTATAAATGCATAGGCAGGGCTGAGGCTGTAGCTCAGTGGTCGAGTGTTTCCCAGTTTGTGTGAGGCAGTGAGTCCAATCCCCAGTGCTACAAAACAAAGCAAAATTCATAGGCAGTGCTTACCCTTGGAAGACTAAGGCAAGGGGTTGGCAGGAAGAGGATTGCAGAGGGCACTTTAACAGGCGGTTTGTTAATTCTTGGAATTTCGGGTTTCAGATACACACTTGACAACATTGCTGCATATTCAGCATGCACTTCGGCATCTCATCAGGCTTGAGTGCCAGCTCTGTCTCCCTCTCCCTCCTTCTCCCCCCTCCCTCCCTCTCCCTTTCTCTCTCCCTCCCCCAGCTCTCCTTCTCCCCCCTCCCTCTCCCTCCCTCTCCCCCTCCCTCTCCCCCCTCCCTCTCCTTCCCTCTCCCCCCTCTCCCCCCTCTCCCTTCCTCTCCCTCCTCTCCCTCCCTCTCCCCCTCCCTCTCCTTCCCTCTCCCTCTCCCTCCCTCTCCCCCTCTCCCTTCCTCTCCCGCCTCTCCCTCCCTCTCCCTCTCTCTCTCCCTCCCCCAGCTCTCCTTCTCCCCCTCTCTCCCCCCTCCCTCTCCACCCTTCCTCTCCCCCTCCCCCTCCCTCTCCCCCTCTCCCTTCCTCTCCCCCCTCTCTCTCTCCCTCCCCCAGCTCTCCCTCTCCCCACTGCTCTCAGTTTATAATTTCAGGCAAAATACTGCCATCTTCTAAGCCTCAGCTTCCTCAATGGTAGGCTAGCGGTGGCCCTATGACCTACCCTACGGAAAAGATCAATGCCTGGCACCAGTTGCCCTCAGAGGCCAGAAGGGGGCGTTGGATCCCCTAGAGCTGGATTTACAGGTATAGATGCTCAAAACTGAACTTTCGACCTCTGCAAGATCAATAAACACTCTTATCTGCTGTGACATTGTTTTCATTTGCCGGTGACTCTGCTCCACACCTTGTCTGAAGAAAGAGTTGTCCTTGGGATCAGTTGAGGGTGAGGGGCAGAGGAAAGTGACCATGCTTTTTTTTTTTAAGTCACAAAGGAATAGTCCTCCATTTTCTGCTCCCTCTTCCCAACAGAGAGACCAACAGAGGCAGCAGTGTGGACGAACTGCTTTCTGCTCATCTAAAGTAGTCCAGTCTTGAAACGTCAGCACTTACACCTAGACATTGCCAAGGGCAGTCCTACATAGACCACTGTAGGGGCCACAGCATCCGCTTGGCCTGAACCCAAGGAATTCAGTCCAGAACAGAGATCAGTAACTATTGACAAGCCAAATCCAATTTGATGGCTATTTCTTTTTTTTTTTTTTCCAGTTGTTCAAGATAGGGTTTCTCTGCATTGTTTTGGAAGCTGTCCTGGAACTTACTCTGTAGATCAGGCTGGCCTTGAACTCACAGAGATTCGCCTGCCTCTGCCTCTCGAGTGCTGGGATTAAAGGCGTGCGGCACCAACACCCGGCTTATATATATAAATATATAAAGTTTTCTTGGCACACAGCTGCACTCACGTGCTTGTGTATTGCCTACGTTGTTTTAGCGCTACAGCAACAGGGCTCAGATCACCGGCTACAGCACAGATAAAAAGGCTAACATTACTGTCACCTGGCTCTTCACGGAAATTATGCATGCTTTTCTCCAAGAGAAAGAAAATAGCACTAAAAACACAGCAGCAGGCACTATATGTCAAATGTTTTACTGGACAGATGTGTATCGAGGCACAGGGAAGACTAGCAGAAGAGGAAAACAGGAGGGAGACATGGTCAAAGATAGCCCTAAGCTGACCCACAAGGCTTCATTTAACAAGAAGAGTAAACTGGGGCAGGTAACACTGATTTTTAAAAGGAAAATATTGATTGGGTGTGCCATGTTTAATGTTCTTATAGATTCCTAATCAGATATAAATTAATCTCACCCATTTGGAAAGCAAGTTGGAAAAAATGTATTAAGAGCCTTAGACATGTTCCTACTCTTGGCTTCCTCATTTCACTTCTGAGAATCTGAGTTATAAACCAAACTGTCAGAAAATCTTTATAGGCAAATATATCCACTGTAGTGTGACCTAGAATCTAGAGCAGCTGAGATGATCAGTTGTATAGGGTTACGGCAATGAGGCTAAGGCTACTATCGAGGTGGGGTTCAAATGATGTCCCCAGAGAGTCTAGGAGTTGAGGTGATCTGAGTGAATGAGTGGATTGCAAGGCTGTATACACTTTCTTTGAAGTTATTACATCAAGACATTAACATTAGGACCAGAGCACCCGCAAATTCACAGCAGTTATCTTTAGGAAAGAGGGCATTGGTGCTCTCTTTTGGACACTCATATTCTTTATCTGCATATTTCTTTCCAGAGCATGGTTTTATTTCCACCTTTATTCAGCAGTAAGGCGCCCGGCCAGCCTCTCCATCAGTCATGAGGATGCTGTCAGTCCCGGTGTCCTCCAGTAGTCCCCACAGCCTGCTGTGCTCTGACTCGGGCAGGTACTCTCTGCTCTGACTCGGGCAGGTACTCTCTGCTCTGACTCGGGCAGGTACTCTCTCTGCTCGCCTTCTCTTCTCCAGCTTGGGCTTCCCCCTGGATCCCTGTGGTCCTTTTTCTTGCAGACTCTGTAGCAAACTTTATTAAGAATTGTGCATTCTCAACTGGGTGTTGGTGGCACACGCCTTTAATCCCAGCACTCGGGAGGCAGAGGCAGGTGAATCTCTGTGAGTTCAAGCCCTGCCTGGTGTCTACAGAGCTACACAGAGAAACCCTGTCTTGAAAAACCAAAAAAAAAAAAAAAAAAAAAAGGTGCATTGTACATTCTCTATTAAGCTCTTAGAGTGGTTTCTTTTCTTTTTAATACATTCTCTAGGTTTCCAGGTCATGCCTTGGTTTAGAACAATTTCTATTATCAAGAGTTTTTGTTAGACCTTCATGGCAAGAAACGTTCCTTCTTGGGCTGGGGAGATGGCCTAGCAGGTAAAGGCACCAGTTACAGAATACACAAGTCTGATGACCTAAGTTTGATCCCTGAAACCTAGGTGAAAGACCAGATGTGGCAACACACAGTTATAATCCAGGCACTCCTACCTCGAGATGCAAGGTTGAGATGGGAGTATTGCCTGGAAGCTTGTAGGCCAGTTTATCTGGAAAGGAAGGCACAGCAGCAGAAATAGGGGAGACTCAACAAGAAGGAAGGGAAGAAACAAGTTCCAAAATTTACCCAGTTATTCTCTGACCTCTCCACATACATTGTGGTATGCATGTTCACACAAACATGCATGCAGGCAAGAACACAGGCACCCTCCCACATGTATGCATGCACACACACACATACACACAGACGCATGCATACCCATATACCAATACAATTAGTAAATGAATTAAAAAATAATTGAAAAGGAAAACTGTTCTTCATAGCTGAAAGGGGTAAACTAAACTCAAAGGCTTCACTTCTAATAATTTAGAAATAAAGGGACCAGACCCTCACTCAGCCCCCTGCTTTAGCAGCCATAAAAGGCTACAGAAAAGACACATAGGCCTCTGACACAAGGAAACTCCAGATCCTCTGGCCTCCCGGAGCCTAGGGCCAAAACTGAGCACAAAGAAACTGCAGACATCACCACCACCCCCAGCCTCCTAGATGCTTGGTTCCTGGGAACTGTTTGGCCAAAAACTCCCCTGTAGCCTCCAGGAAATAGTTCTGAAAACTATTGGTGAATATATACAACGGGTCACCTGCAAGTAACAAGACAATGCCATAGAAACCACAGAATGTTCCCTCTCAGCACTGACCAATGAAAATAATTGGTACACAGGTATTTCATGCCAAAATATGACTTTGAGAAATTCTCCTGATTGTTCTCAAATGTCAACCAATCAGAAACCAACCCGTACCTACTGATGTAATCCTGTGACTTTTGTCTTTAAAACCTGGCAGTAGACAGGGAACTTCACTCCCTCTGGAGGCTGCTGCCTCAGCTTACTAGACAGGATCCCTGTCATGGTTGAATGAACAATTAAAACCTTGCTTTAGCATTTTGGTTGGTCTGTCTTCCTGGTGGTCTCTGAGGACTTTGCAACTTGGGCACAACAATAGGCAGGGATGTTTTAATTCCTTCAGTGATGGTCTCTTTTGTCCCCTCCTGTTTTGCTCCTTTCTCTTCTGAGTCTTTAGAACTGAAATGGATTCCCTCTGGTTCCCCCCCCGAGTTTTATTTATGTATTTTACGTATGTGAGTGCTCTGCATGAATGTGGGCACAACAGAAAAGGGGATCAGATCCCACTACAGATGGCTGTGAGACACCGTGTGTTTGCTGGGAATTGAACTCAGGACCTCTGGGAGAGCAGTTAGTGTTCTTAACCAATGAACCAGCTCGCCAGCCCCTCCCTCCATCTTTTTAAAACTTCTGATGCTGGAGAGACAGTTCAGTTAAGAGCACTTGTTGCTCCCAACTCATATAGGAGCAGGAAGGGAGATTCTATCCCCCAGGTTTCGTGGGAGGCATGCAACCCTCTGTTTTTTGAGACAGGGTTTTTCTGTGGAACAGTTCTGACTGTCCTAGGACTCACTTTGTAGACCAGGCTGATCTCAACTCACAGAGACCTCCTGTGTCTGCCTCACAGATGCTGTGATTACAATGTGCATGGCTGCCTCCACAGCCGCCGCCACCACCCTGCTGCGCATGCCCGCTCTTAACTCCGGTTCCACAGAGTAGGGTTGTATTCCCATAGTTTTGTGTACTGACCCACCTAATGTCATCATCTATACGGACAAGATCAGAAAGCTATGGAAAGTCAATGGAAACCTCTCCGGATTGGCTTGTCCATGCCCTGTATAATAACCCCATCCCTCCCAGGTTCAAGGTTAGGATGAGGCAGACACAAAGACATGTCAGAGTCTCTGCTGTCCCGAGTCACCAGGTCACCCGGACACAGCTGTGCAAGCTGAGTTTGGAATCAGCATCTCCTGGCATGTGGACATGCAGAGCCCTCAGAGTGATGCCCCTCCCCTGGGGAGAAGCAGAGGCCAGGATCTGCATTCCTGCAAGGATGCTCTGACCTCCTCCAGGAGCAAACTTCATTAGCATCCAGTTTGGACCAGGTGTGCAACAGAAGGAAGAGGTCCCTGTGAGCACATTTGCATGACAGACACAGCGTTTCTTACTTCCTCTCCAGAGTTCACAGAACACTCCTTTCCAAGCCTGGATTTAGCTCCCAGGAGAGCCAGAGGAAACAGGCAGGAGCTGGCCTTTCTCAGGATGAGGACAGTGTTGAAGGTGAGGCAGACACTTCCCTCAGCCACTGGGCTGGGAGGGAGAGAGTGGAGTTCCTCAGGACACTGGGATGCCGAGGGTCCCTTCAGCTGGTTCAGGCTCTGAGATGGTGGGGATAGGCTGGTGCTGGGCAGGGGCAGAACCTCAGCTGGGGCAGCGCTGAGGGAGCTGCCTCCCTCAGCTGTGAGATCTGCATTTCTGTCAGAGCTCTGTCCTCACTCCACTCTGCTCTCCTGCTGCTGTGGGAAAACAGATCCCTGGTCCTGTCAGGCCTCCCTCGCTCTGCCTAACCCTCTGAGGTGTTCCTTCAGTTATCTCTGGCCTCAGGTGTCTATAGTGCCTCTTTCTCACCAGCCTGGTATTAAATGAGTCACTAACGGTGTTTATCAGTCTTCTAGGCTTGGGAAGCTCACACTTGCCTGTATCTTGAATGCAGGTGGAGAGAACAGCTAACATAAGCCCAAGTCACAAGGACGCTTCCAATGTCTCCTCAGCCAAACCCAAGTGTCAAAGGTCTCTGGGCTGGAGAGATGGTAAGAGTCTCCTGCCTCAACCAAATCTGATGCCCTACACCCCATCCATAACTTGCCTTCCTCTCTAAACACATGCAAAATATGTAAATGAAAATGAAAAAAGTAAGAAAAGATACATCCTGGGATCTTTTCACTGGAAGGACACTTTGTCTTATGACTGCCTCCCAGTCTTGCTTCCCCTGAGACCTGGCCCCAAAATGTGCCTTTTGTGTGAAGTCCTCTCTGAGTCCCAGTTCCTTCTGTGTGGCTTCTCTGTAACCAGAGGTTGTTGTGAGGACTTGTGCTGCTGGCAGTGTCCTCTGGGATCTGCAGGCTTGTTTTTCTTCTTCACCGTAGGCTGCTTTCGTGCTGCTGTCCATGAATAAGATGTATGCACGTGACATTTTGTACTTTTCCATCTATGTTCAGCTTATTCAAATAGCCACTTCCTTTGCACTGAGAAACTGCTGCCCCACGTGATTACCTGTATGAAGCAGCCCCTGAGCTTGCAGAAGGGCTGGAGACTGGACCCTCTTTACAATGAGGTGACAGACAAAAGTAAACCTCTGGGTGCCCTACTTAGTTTACTTCCTAAAGGGCTCCTTTACTTTCCAAGACTAAAGAAACCCACCTCCATGCCCACACCACTCCCTCCCCACTGAACAAATGTCTATGCACCCTTCGAAGAAGAAACAGGGGTCACAGCACTGAGGAGGTAAGTAGCAGAAGGATCATGTGTTTAAGGCCAGCCTGGGCTAAGCACTGTGACTTTGTGAAAGAGAAGAAGAGAGGGAGAGAGGGAAAGGGTGGGAGGGAAGAAAGGAGGGGACAAGGGAGGGAAAGGAGAAAGAGAGGAGAGTGGTTTCACATTTACTTTTTAGACAAACAGGGGCGGTGGTGGCATACTCCTTTAATCCCAGCACTCCGGGGGCAGAGGCAGGCAGATCTCTGTGAGTTCAAGGCCAACCTGGTCTACAGAATGAGTTCCAGGACAGGTTCCAAAGCTACAGAGCAACCCTGTCTCGAAAAAACAAACAAACCAACCTTTGGTCAATTTGAAAATACAAACCATCAGTGAACTGTACCCACTTCTTAGATTTCCGTTGAGAAAGATGAGTCAAGAAGATCACATACAAGAGCATCGAGGGTCAGTTCCAGAACTGAGCTAGTCATGTGGTCATCTTGAAACTGGGAAAGGCATGGAGCCAGGTCTGGTTTCTCCAGTCATGACCTTTGGCCCTAGCATGACTGCATGGTAGATTCTGATTGGTCTGGAAGCTGAATTAACCCTGTGCCAACATAGCTTTTGAAATGTTTCCTGGCAACTTATAATAATGTGTTGAAAGGGCCTGGAGAGATGGCTCAGAGGTTAAGAGTACTGACTGCTCTTCCAGAGGTCCTGAGTTCAGTTCCCAGCAACCACATGGTAGCTCACAACCATCTACAGTTCAATCTGGTGCCCTCTTCTGGTATGTAGGCAGAACACTGTATATGTAATAAATAAAATAAATCTTAAAAAATAATGTGTTGAAAGGCAGAGCCAGGCCCAAGGGCCTTTTAAACATGACTTCCCAATTGATCTGTCATAAAGAGAGCCATGCTATGATATATGTACAAGGCCAGGGGATAAACAGGTAATGGGAGCCCGCCGTGGTCCACAACAATAAGGCAGATGCAATCACAAATCTGACAAAAGCAGCATCTGCAGGAGCTTAGAGGGGATCTGATATGGGGAGGTAGTTTGGTGATCAAGAGACTTGAAGAAAGTAAAAGTTAGCTAGGTCAGTGATGCAGGGGCAGGGGCAGGGGCAGGGGTGTGCTCTAGGTAGAGGGGGGAGAGTATTCTCAGGGTTCACCAGTGGAACACAATGGGACCAGAGGGAGGGTGCTTAGAGATGAGGGGAAGGGTTACTCGGAAGGCACCTCATCCCGGAGGGCTCTCAAGGACAAACCAGACTTCACCCCGAGTGCATGAGAAACCAAGGAAGAGTTTTCAACAGGGATTCTGAATGTGGGTTGTTATTTTCCGTAACTCACTCTGGTATGGTTGAGAGGCTGTACAGTGCCCCAGTGAGGAAGACATTCCTGTGGTTCCAGGGACAGATCCTGAGGCCCCACCCACCAGTCACTCTCAAACATTTTATTCAGATGGGAAACGAACAGCCTGAGGTCTGAAAAGGAGGAGAGGGGCTGGGGTATAGCTCAGGTGACTGGGTGCTTGCCTAGTAATATGGCCCTGAGTTTGACGCTCTGCCCTGCCTTAACCCATGGTGGGACACTCGGGAGGTAGAAGGAGGAGGCGCTAAACTTCAAGGTCGTCCTTGGCTACATAGCAGATGCAAGGCCAGCCTGGGCTACATGAGACCCAGTCCCCCTACACACACAAAAGAGGGGAAAGGTCTTATGAGCCCTTGACAGGAAGGCCATGTGGAGACTCCTGGCGAGGAGCCTCTGAAGTGGGCGGGGCTGTGGAGGTGACTGAGTGGCAGGAAACTGATGGTTGCATCATTTCTCTTAGGTCAGTCTAATCCTCACCTTCGACAAAAATCAAATTACTGTCAAGACTGGGAAGACCAATGAGCTGGCCTCTTACAGGCAGATTCTGCAATACCTTTACTCAGACATCAAGACATCTCTGCATCCCTGTAAGCTGCAAGGCAGCCAGCCAGCAGAGAGACTAAAGAATGTGTAGTTAAGAGGACCCAGGTTCGAGCCGGGTGTTGGTGGCGCACGCCTTTAATCCCAGCACTCGGGAGGCAGAGGCAGGCGGATCTCTGTGAGTTCGAGGCCAGCCTGGTCTACAAGAGCTAGTTCCAGGACAGCCTCCAAAGCCACAGAGAAACCCTGTCTCGAAAAACAAAAAAAAAACAAAAAAAAAAAAAAAAAAAGAAAACCCTCAAAACGCCCATCTTCCAAGTCTCAGACTGAGCTGTAAGTGACCCTGGATCCAAACAGCCTGTAGTCAGCAGCCTGTGCACTGCACAGCTTCACCCCACACCCTGCACGACTTCAACCTTCACCCTTCACACTGCACTACTTCACCCTGTGTGCTGCATTTCTTCACCCCTCACACTGCACTTCTTCACCCTGCGCACTGCATTCCTTCACCCCGCGCACTGCATTTCTTCACCCTGCGCACTGCATTCCTTCACCCTGTGTACTGCACTTCTTCACCCTGCACACTGCATTTCTTCACCCTGTGCATTGCACTTCTTCACCCTGTGCACTGCACTTCTTCACCCTGAGCACTGCATTTCTCCACCCTGAGCACTGCACTTCTTCACCCTGTGCACTGCATTTCTTCACCCCTCACACTGCACTACTTCACCCTGTGCACTGCACTTCTTCACCCTGTGCACTGCATTTTTTCACCCTGTGCACTGCATTCCTTCACCCTGTGCACTGCATTTCTTCACCCTGTGCACTGCATTTCTTCACCCCTCACACTGCACTTCTTCACCCTGCACACTGCATTTCTTCACCCTGTGCACTGCACTTCTTCACCCTGTGCACTGCATTTCTTCACCCCTCACACTGCACTTCTTCACCCTGCACACTGCATTTCTTCACCCTGTGCACTGCACTTCTTCACCCTGTGCACTGCACTACTTCACCTGGCAGCCAGGCTCCTTTGCTCCCAAATGGCTCTTTCTGGTCTAAGGGACTCAGGAGCGTCCCCTCTTTTGCACAGTCTATGTCCAGTCATTTTAGCACCTGCCATTCCCTCAACTCCAAAAGTGCTGGCTCAGAGGAGGGTAGAGTGGATTTAAGAGCACAGAAAGACAATCTCTTCCCAGAGGACGGACTCTCCAGGGCACATGGCCTCTTTTTAGGTGTGTTCAGAAACCTGCTGACATCAAGGAATAAAGAAATGATAGTAATGATGTTGTCAGTGGGCTGTGGCATCTGGGAACATTGTTTTGTGTGACCATGTTCCAACAAAGCTGTTTGTACTGGACAGTTGAGATAATGGGGAGTAACAGATTTAAGCCTGTTAGTGGTGGCGCACGCCTTCAATCCCAGCACTCTGAGGCAGAGGCAGGCGGATCTCTGTGAGTTTGAGGCCAGCCTGGTCTACAAAGGGAGTTCCAGGTCAGTCAGGACTGTTACACAGAGAAACCCTGTCTCAAAAACAACAACAGCAAAACAAACAAAAAACAAAAACCGAAGTGATTACTATATTGTCCTTTTATTAAACAAAACTTGGGAGTCAGATATTGGGGTAAAAACTGATAGATCCAAAGAGCGATGGAGGAAAAATCTGTTGACTCTGCCTCTCCATAGCCCCAGATCCAAAAGGCCTGAGAATCTTTATAAGCCCCTCCCTATTCCTTCCGGTGTCTCTCTATCCTAATCTGTGTCGACCAAACTCGATGGCAAATTCTGGCCAGCTGAATGTTAACCCACCCTCTAAGTCAAGCCTTAGCTTTATTGGCAGGTCCGTGAGTGTCAGAGTGCAATCGAAATATCCCACAACAAAAAACCAAAAAGAGATATATTTAGAGGGGTGCTTAAAACCATCCAGACGTGGAACTTAATTAAGAACACAATTGTTCAGCCAGGGAGATGACTCAGTGGATAAGGGCACTTGCTGCCAAGCCTGATGGCCTAAGTTTGATGTCTGGAACCCACTTAGTGGAAGGAGAGAATGGCAAGCTGCCCTTTGACCTCAACATGAGTGCCATGGCATACACACATCCAAACACGACGAATGCACTTTTTAAATAAAGGCATCTCTTCATTTCCATATTCTTATCCATCTCTTCTACCCAGGAATGGCTTTCTAAATGCCACGCACTCATTTTAAATTTCCACAGATCATTCCAGTACAGCAGAGGGCTCTTCAGTGGGCCCTGAAATACACGCAGTCAACACATACTCTCAATGTCAGTGAACATAGGTTGAGTGATGATGAAAGGGAAAAGAAATTCAAAGGATTTTGGAAGCCTGAGGCATTTTCTAGTATAGAAAGGTGCTTGTGCCTCTGTAGGGAAGTGTCACCTTTGGTCTGTGCTCTCAAAACCAAGAGTCTGTATCCAAATACAGCAGCTGAGCAACCTTAGATGTCTGCACTGATCCATTGCAGACTGACCCTTGGGGGAAGCGCTGTGCAGTTCCCTCCTTCCTGGTTTGTGTCTGAGGTGTTTCCTCATATGGAGGGCACTCTAAGCACACACGCCAGTTCTGAGAGTGACAACAAGCACCGGGTACAGTGTCAGCATTTTCTGTGTTCTCATGTTTGGCTCTGTAGGTCTTATTTAAAGGAATATGTGCTAATTCATATGAGTTAGCTTCCTATGTGGAATTTTGACATTTTCTTTTTGGTCAGATCACTTGACTCTCAGTGAAAGGTTGGTTTGTTATCTAAGTTGTCTGAGGTGTGGCATGTATACTGCCAGTCTGAATGTGTATCCAATAGAATCACGTCTCTGTGCTTTATAACCTTAAGTCCTGTGTTCCTCTATTGGATTAAATGTTACATGCCGCCACAAAATCAAGTTATCTTTTTTTTTTTTTTTTTTTTTTTTGGTTTTTTAAGAGACAGGGTTTCTCTGTATTGTTTTGGAGGCTGTTGGTCCAGCCTGGCCTCGAACTCACAGAGATCCGCCTGCCTCTGCCTCCCAAGTGCTGGGATTAAAGGCGTGCGCCACCAACGCCCAGCTCAAAATCAAGTTATCTTATGCATAATAAATATTCAGCCCCTGTTTCATTCTTTCATTCAGCCAACATGTGTTGGAAAACTTGTACAAGGCCAGGCCTACTTTATGCATTAAGAATATATCAATGAACAGAACAGAGCCAACTCTAGCCACTCCTCCTACCTTTTTAAAAAATATTTCCTTATGTATTACGTATGCAGTGTTCTGCCTGCAGGCCAGAAGAGGGCACCAGATCTCATTATAGATGGTTGTGAGCCACCATGTGGGTGCTGGGAATTGAACTCAGGACCTCTGGAAGAACAGCCAGGACTCTTAACCTCTGAGCCATCTCTCCAGCCCCTGCCACTCCTCCTTCTTGTCTCTGACATTTTAGTGGAATTTACTTTCATTTCACCAAAAATCTCGCATAAGCAATTTCAAGAATGATGTCTACCTTTTGGCTGGGAGGTCGTGGCATGGCAGGAGTGTCACAGCCGTGCACAGGTGTGTCCCCAGCATGGGACAGACCTTGTGCATGCATGGTCAGCAGAAACTATCGGGCTCTAACTGCCCACCTCCTCCTCCCTCCCTTTCATCTTAGCTTTCCTCTGCTGTTCTACCAGGTTATTACATTCTACAATCTCACCATCCCCTTCTGGACTGAAGGATGGGATATGGCCTATGAGATACAACAGGCACTTGCTTAACTAAGGTAAAGTTGCCTACAATGAAGGTATTGGTCGTGGGCACTTTTTTTTTTTTTTTTAAGAAATGTGTAGTAGCCACCCATAATGCTGGTACCTTCTGCAGCTACAGTGCAGGACAGAATTACATATCATGCTCAGAGCGATGATCCTGGGACACTCCAGGATGCTGAATCGGTAAGAGGAGATTTAATTATGTTCATTAGGCAACTTATTAAAGCAAGGAAATGGACTGAGGCAATTTAGAGCAATTTCAGACAAAAAGGTGTCTTCTCATTAACCCACAGTTAATCAGAAACCCAATTAACCAGTGTGCTCTGCCCTAGGAGTTCCCTCCTTCCAGACTCACTCACTCTTCTTTACAGCCGTGACCACGTCACCCGTCCAGATCCCAGCTCACATTTACTGCACGGAAATCAACGGATTCCTTCAGCTTCCAGCAGGGCAAACTTCTTCCAGAGACAAACGGGAACGTCCAAGAGAAACAATTGTTCTGCCAAGTAACAAGACAGGGATGCAACGGAGAAGCCTCGGTTTTTCCTCAAACATTCTGCATTCTCTTGAGTATGTATAGCTGGAAGCCCACAGAGGCGAGAAGGAAGCTGGCATGGTGGCAGACGCCTGTAATAGCAGCACTCAGGAGTCCGAGGCTGGGGGCGGGGTAGCTTTGAGGAAAGGTTGGTCTACATAGGGAGATCCTGTCACACAACAACGTGGCAAAATAAAGCAACGCTAAGTTACGATTTTCTTTCGCAGATACCCTTTGGCCCATTTACTTCCTAAATTAGTGGACCAGCCATCTTTTTGGCCACGATGCACCCTCAGAGGCTCCATTCTGTGAAAACACCAGACCCTGCATCCTCCTTATTGCCCTAGGTTGGACCTTCCATAGGTTAGACCCTCCCCATCTTCCAGTCTCACCCACATCCTTCTCTTGCTTAAGTGAGTCTATGCTTTAGAGTTACTAGCTTTCTCTTCTCCCTCTCCCCAGATTTCCCTTTAGTTTTCACTCTCCTAAAATACTGTGGTGGTGTGCGCCTGTAATTCCATTACTAGGGAGGCAGAGGCAGGCAGATCTCTTGTGAGTTTGAGGCCAGCCTGAGTTCCAGGCCAGCCACAGTTACATGATGAGACCCTGTCTCCAAACTCCAGAAAATGAAAACAACAACAACAAAATCCCCCAAACAAACCAACAAACCAAAACTGTTTCCTTGGTGCTGGGAAGCGGGCGGGCCGGCCGTTACAAGTGTGAATAGCTCATGCAGAGGCCCTGATGTGGGCCATGAGAGCCCACATCAGGGCACCCACAACTACCTGTAACTCCAGCTCCAGGGCATCCATGCCTCTGGTCTCCATGGGCTCCTGCACTCATGTGCACACATGTCCGCACATACACACGTATGCAATTAAAACTTAAATAAGAGAAATCAAAATACGCCTTGAGAAAAACAAGGGCCTTGAAATGTAGTTCAGTAGCACACACACACACACACACACAAGAAATTAATGGCGTTCCTAGTGAGAATGCAAACTAGTAGAGACTTTACAGAAGATAACAGAAGTACTGAGAGATCCGGCAATACTCTGACTGGGTTTATCTCTAAAATAGATGAAATCAGACTACCGTAAACACCTGCACTCCCGTGTTTACTGCAGCCTTACTCTTGCAGATAAGAGCCAACTTGATGGATATCAGAGGACCACCCACTAAGGAATCCACAGTGTGCTATTCAGTCGTAAATGCCATTCAGCCATAAAATGTAGAAAATCCTGGCAATTTTTTTTTTTTGTTTTTTGAGACAGGGTTTCTCTGTGGCTTTGGAGGCTGTCCTGGAACTCACTTTGTAGACCAGGCTGGCCTCGAACTCACAGAGATCCGCCTGCCTCTGCCTCCCGTGTGCTGGGATTAAAGGCAGATACAAAAAGACAAACAGTGTGATTTCACTTGTGCGTGGAA